GATCTTAAAGTTTCCTATGACTATCATTATGGAATTCAAGGCCATTATCTGAAAAATTGTATAGCTTTCAAACGTAAGGTCCAAAACCTGATTGATAATGAAATTTTAAATTTAACAACCAAGGTCGAACTAAGTGTAGAGGTCAATTTGTTACCTAATCATAGTGAAAGATTAATAAATGCTTTAAATAGTAAGATAACTCAAAATATTAAAAGAAAAGTAAACGAGATCAGAACCTCTATGAATGAAATATTTGCTACCCTTGTGAAAGCAAATATGATTTATCCAATACCTGAAAACTCAGATAATGGAAATTTCACATATAATTCAAATCACACTTATGAATTCCATATGGGGATAGTTAGTCATTTGCTTCAAGATTGTGAAGCATTTCGACAAGAGTTGTAGAGAATGATGGATTTTTTTTGGTTAAATTTTGTGAAGAACGTGAAGAAAGTTTAGTGAATATTATGATGGGAGACTAATCCAAAAATAGGCCTTATTGAATGAATTTTGAGCCAGTTACCATCTTCTATGAAGAGAAATCGAAAGTTAAGGTTAATAAACCAGTTCATATGAATTTTGAGCCTATCACGATCTTTTATGATGAAAAATTAAATGTTAAAATTGGTGAACTAGTTTGTACAACTATGCCAAAGGTGACAATTGATGTCCCTAGCCCATTCACGTACAAATTGGATAAAGCAGTCCCTTGGAAATATGATTGTAATATCATATCAAAAGGTTTGAATAATGGTTCTCTTCAATATAACTCATGTGATGCAAGTACAGCAAACATAACTGGTGTAGCAGGCATAACTCAAAGTGGGCAATGTTATACCCCTAGAAGCACTTGAGAGAGCATGAAAAGAAAAAAGTGAAACAAGCTTAAAGAAAGAAGATAAATCACCTAATGATCAAGAGACTCACCCAGCCCCAATCTTAGATTGAGAATGTAAAAATTCGGTTACAAAAAAAAAGGTCTGTGAGTTCTTGAAACTTATTAAATGCAGTGAATATAGTGTGGTAGAGCAATTAAATCGCTAACCAACTCGAATTTCTATGCTCGCATTATTGTTAAATTCTGAGCCTCATAGAAATGCCTTGCTCAATATATTTAATGAAGCTTATATAGCTCACAATATATCTATGAAAAAACTTGATCGCATAGTAAAAAATATCACAGTGAGAAATTTTATATCATTTAATGATAATAAAATTTCACCTAGTGGTAGAGGTGATTCTAAGGCCTTACATATCTCTACAAGATATAAAGATTATACACTAGCAAAAGTGTTCGTTAATAATGGATCTTCTTTGAATGTCATGCCTATGACTACACTATCTAGATTGCCAATTGATATGTTTTACATGAAAATGAGTCATATGATAGTGAGAGCTTTTGATGGGATTCGTCATGAAATGATAGGTAATATAAAGCTACCAATCCAAATTGGACCATGTACTTTTGACATAGTCTTTCAAGTCATGGATATCGTTTCTTCCTATAACTGTTTTTTAAGAATACCATGGATTCATATGGCAGGAGCTATTTCTTTCACTTTACATTAAAAAGTGAAATTCATAATTAATGAAAAAGTAGTCATTGTTGCTGGTGAAAAAAATCTATTGGTGACTAAATCCTCTACTGCATTATATGTTGAAGTAGCTAAAAAAGCCCCATAATATTTTTTTTGGATCTTTTAAATTTGTTAATACAACCTATATGGGTGAAAAATCAAAAGTGTCTATTCCATGTCTATCCAAAGCTTCCAAGATGGCCTTTAAAAAAGTGGTAGGGAAAAGACAACAGGTGTGGACTAACTTGTAGGGGATGCAATGACCATGGATGATGCCTAAGAAAGACGATCGATTTGGGCTAGGGTACAAGTCAACTCAAAAAGAAAGAATGAAGTTCATAAAGAAAAAAGGTTGGCTTATTTTTTAAGATGAGAAGTAGAGACTGAAGGCTTATCTTTTTCTCTTTTTTATGAGACTTTCATCTCAACTGGCTAAATTTATCCAAATGTAGCAAGAAACATAGAGAAAGAGTTTACACCAGCATTGAAAGATATATTTGCTAAATTTTTAATACAAATGGTGGGTAAAAAAAAAAAGAATGAAGATCCAAGCTATCTATGGGTTTATCTTACTCCTCCTGATAAAGAACTAAAAAATTGATATGTTGAGGAGTTACTTGTTGTTTTCAAATTTTTTCCAAAGCAATGTGTTGAACCTAATCTAAATGCTTTTGTTAAAAGCATTAAATGTCTTATATGTGTTTATTTCCTCATTTTTAATTGAAGCATAGCAATTTGTCCATTTCTTTTACCTTTTTCATTTCAATTCCTTGCATTATTATACATCCTTCTACATTTCGTCCATTTCACTTATTTTTAGGTATCTGAATAATGAGTATGAAGATCATCATAATAATATTTTAGGATTTGATTTTGAAAATTCTATTTATATTAGTGAACTCGATGATAAAGAAAATGTAGAAAACCATGCCATATCCCCAGAATTATTGAGATTAGTAGAACAATAAGAGAAGCAAATCATGCCTCATCAAGAAGCCACTGAAGTTGTTAATTTGAGGGATAAAGAAACTAAAAAAGAAGTTAAAATTGGTACTTCAATGTCATCACCAATAAAACATGAGTTAATAAAGTTACTACATAAATATGTAGATGTATTTGCTTGATCATATCAAGATATGCCAAGGCTAGATACTAAAATTGTAATGCATAAATTACCTCTGAAGCCTGAGTGCAAACCAATTAAACAGAAGTTGAGAATGATGAAACCTGAAATGTTGTTGAAAATAAAAGAATAAGTGAAAAAATAATTTGATGTAAGATTTTTAGAAATGACCAAATATCTAAAATGGGTGGCAAATATAGTCCCAATACCTAAGAAAAAAGGCAAAATAAGAATGTGTGTTGATTATCGGGATCTAAATAAAGTAAGTCCAAAAGATAATTTTTTGTTGCCTCACATTGACACTCTAATGGACAATACCTCTAGGCACTCTCTATTTTCATTCATGGATGGATTTTCAGGCTACCATCAAATTAAATTGGCATAAAAAGATATGGAAAAGATTACTTTTATTATAGTATAGGGAACATTTTATTATAAAGTCATGCCTTTCGGTTTAAAAAAATGCTAGGGTAACTTATCAAAAAGCCATGGTAACTCTATTCCATGATATGTTGCACAAAGAAATAGAGGTGTATGTGGATGACCTGATTGCCAAATCTCGTGAAAAAAAATCATATGACTAATCTCAAAAAGTTATGTAAGAGATTAAGAAAGTTTTAGCTCAAGTTCAATCCAGCTAAATGCACTTTTGGTGCAACCTCAAAAAAATTACTAGGATTTATTATTAGTAAAAGAGGAATAGAGGTGGATCCAGATAAGATACATGCCATCCAAGAGCTATTATCTCTACACACACAAAAAAATAAGAAAATTTTTAGGGAGATTGAATTATATTGCTCATTTCATTTCCCAACTTACAGCCAAATGTGATCTTATATTCAAGATTTTTTAAAAACACGAGTTAAGAGAATGGGATAAATATTGTCAAATGGCATTTGAAAAAGTTAAAGAATACTTATCAAACCTATCAGTATTAATGCCACTTGTCCCTAAAAGACCTCTTATCCTATATTTGACGATGCATGAAAAATCAATGGGATATGTTTTGGGGCAACATGATGAAACAAGAAATAAAGAACAAACCATTTATTATCCAAGCAAAAAGTTTACTGATTATGAGTTAAAGTATTCACCATTGGAAAAGATGTGTTGCACACTAGCTTGGACGGCTCGTCGGTTCAAACAATACATGTTGTATCATACCACTTGGCTCATTGCAAAATTAGCCCCAATCAAGTACATCTTTGAAAAGCCTTCATTGTCAGGAAGCATAGCAAGATGTCAAGTGTTATTTTTTCAATATGACATTGTACATGTATCTTAAAAGGCAATCAAAGGAAATGCTATTACTGAATTTCTTATAAAACACGCTCATAAAGATTATGTGCTTGTGACATTTGATTTTTCAGATGAAGACTTAATGTCTATACTGCATATAAATAAAGAAGAGCATAATGAAGATATATGAAATATGTATTTTATTGGTGTATCAAATGCTTTGAGACATGGTATAAGAGTAGTTTTGATATCTTTAGAAGGGGATTACTACCCAATCACTACAAAACTAAATCTTGATTGTACCAATAATGTGACAGAATATGAAACATGTGTTTTGGGTCTTCAAGTTGCTCTAAGCCTGTGTATTAAAAGTTTATGGAGACTCTGCTTTGGTCATATACCAATTGCGAGGAGAATGAGAAATTAAAGACTCAAAGTTAATTTTATACCAAAAGTACATATCAGTTGATCAAAAAATTTAAGAGTATTTGGTTTCATCATTTACCCCTAGAAGAGAATCAAATGGTTGATGCTTAGGCTACATTGGCAGCAATATTCAAATTGAATGAAAATATTGAAATCCAACCCATCAAATTAAGTTTGCAAGAGAAACCAGCTCACTATTCAAATGTTGAAGAAGGAATTGATGAGAAACCATGGTATTTTGACATATTACAATATGTTAAGTATCAACAGTACCCAAAGCACATATCAGAGAATGATAAGAGAACTTTGATAAGATTACCAGTGGGTTACTTTCTAGATAGAAAAATGTTATATAAAAAAAGTGAGATCAAATACTATTGAGATGTGTGAATGCTGCTGAAGCCAAAAAATTGTTAGAAGAAATTCACTGAGGTATTTGTAAAACTCATGCAAACGGTTAAATGATGACTAAGTAAATAATGAGAGTAAGATATTATTGGTTGACAATGAAAAAAGATTGTATTGACTATGCTAGAAAATTTCACAAATGTCAAATTTATGCAGACAAGATTCAAGTTCCTTCAACGTCTTTACATGTTATGTCAACACCTTGACCTTTCTCTATGTAAGAAATGGATGTGATAGGGCCCATAAGACCAAAAGCTTCAAACGGGCATCGATTCATTTTAGTGGTAATTAACTACTTCACAAAGTGGGTAAAGATAGCTTCATATGCTAATGTGACAAGAATGGTGGTTTGCAAGTTCATCAAGAAAGAGATCATATGTCAATATAGCTTTCCAAAAAGGATCATTTCGGATAATGCTCTTAATTTGAATAATAAAATGATGACTGAAGACTGTGCTCAATTTAAAATCAAACATCATAAATAAGTGCTTTATCATCCAAAGATGAATGGGATAGTTAAAGTGGCCAATAAGAACATAAAAAAAATTATTAAAAAAATGATAGATGTGTATAAAGTTTGGTATAAAAAGTTACCATTTGCATTACATGCTTATTGAACTTTAATTCACACATCTACAAGAGCTACACCATTTTCATTAGAATATGGGATGAAGGTAGTGTTGCCTATTAAAGTTAAAATTCCCTCTTTGCACATTCTTATGAAAGTTAAGTTAGAATAAGCTAAATAGGTTCATGCTCAATATAAACAACTGAATCTTATTAAAGAAAAGAGATCAGCTACACTTAGCCATGGCCAACTATATCAAAGAAGAATAATGCGAGCTTATGACAAGAAAGTTCACCCACGATAATTTTGAAAAAGAGAGTTAGTCTTGAAAAAGATTCTTCCTAACCAATAAAACCCTCAAAGAAAATGGACTCCTAATTGGGAATGCCCATATGTGGTGAAAAAAACTTTTTTTAGTGGGGCACTAATCTTGGCAAGAATGGATGGAGATGATTTGTCAAATCCAGTCAATACCGATGCAGTAAAAAAGTATTATACTTAAAAAAATAAAAACAAAATGAATTGAAAAGATATCTGAGTTAAAAACCTAAAAGGGTAGTTTAGATAAAAATAAAAAGGGATAGTGAATGGAATGGGTCAATTCTCAATATGTGCTAGAAGATCTCATTAGTTTTGGGGTTGCTTGGTCAATTGCATTTTTTAAAGTCAAGGGCACCAATCAAGAGTCTTTAAAAAATAATCCATGATGAATTAGTTCATGATGATCTAAATATTTGTTATGTGATTACTTGTTGTCTTTATTATATCTTTTTTGATAATGCATGAAACATTTTTACCTTTTACCGAAATAAAATATAACTTTGTTTACCATTCTTTTTGTCCCTCTCATTAAAGAGAGAAATGTGCAATGTGTTAAAATTGTTGTGAAATTCAAAAGATGATGACCATAAAAGACACATTATTTTGAAAGAGATTTAAAATCATAAGCAAAATAGTAAGAAACAAAGGTCAGTGAAAAGGAAGGCCTATAAGTCATAAAAGATTAGACATTGAATACAGGATATGAAGAGAAATATATTTCATCTGAACTTAATCAACTCTGGAATACATGGGATTCAAGAGAAGAAAAAAGAAAACAAACCTTGAGAAATTTCAAGGATTAAAAAAAATGATAAAAAAATAAAAAAAAAGATGGTCTCTTCATTTATATAATGAGTGCATTCGCATCATGATCATCATTTATTGCATGGCATTGCAAAAACATGAAAATATCATTCACGCATTCATGTGATACAATAGATGTATGGCTCTAGGACAATCTAAGACTAACAAAAGAAAAAGTCAAAAATTAAAAAGATGTGAACCCTCTGTTGAGAGAAATCTTTCAAATACATTGCCTCTTAGCCTTTTGAATTTAAAGTTCATTTTCTTTGGTCAGAGGAGGTTTTGAATTTAAAGTTTATTGCCTCTAGTCAGTGGAGTTTTTTAATTTTAAGAGCCTTTAGTTAAAAGACTATCAAAGTTAGGCATGATTTGTAAGACCAAATGGCATAATCTATAAGTCCTCTCAGATTTTAACATTTAAATTTCATTGTCTTTCGTTAAATGAGCAATTTAAAGTTCATTGCCTCTGGTTAGTGGAGCCTTTTAATATTTAAAGTTCATTGCATTTGGTTAAAGGAGCTTTTGAATTTAAAGTTTGTTACCTTTGGTTAAATGAGCCTTTTAACATTTAAAGTTTGTTACCTTTGGTTAAATGAGCCTTTTAACATTTAAAGTTTGTTACCTTTAGTTAAAAGAGCCCTTTTGAATTTAAAGTTCGTTGCCTCTGATGAGAAGAGCTTCTTAACATTTAAAGTTTATTGCATTTGATTAAATGAGCCCTTTTGAATTTAAAGTTCATTGCCTTCTGTAAAAATAGCCTTTTAATATTTAAAGTTCGTTATCTCTGGTGAGATGAGCCTTTCAAATTTACTTTAAAAAAAATTAAAAAAAAACTTTATGATCAATGTTTTATTTTTTGTATGTGTTTACCTAAATAAAATTGGTGTCTTTTTATCTTTGCTTTATTTCTGATTATCAAAAATAAGCAAAAAATGATAGTTGTAGACACCAATTTTGAATATTGTGATTTTTGTTATTGTTGTTGTTGTTGTTATTATTATTATGATTATTATTATTATTATTATTATTCTTTAAAAAAAAGTCAAAAAAATCTTTGATTTTAACTCTGGTAGCTAAAATCAAACTGCCAAAGTGATATTTTTTCTTTTTGACACTGCCTAACTTGGCAGCATGAAATTTGATGACCAAAAGTCATCGAATAAACCTCTAAATTTTTCATGAAAATATCTAAGAAGATCTGAGATTTGAAATCTCAGAAGCTCTATAAATAGAGCTAATTTTTGTGAAACAAAACAGAAAGAACAAAAGGGGAAAATCTAGAGATTTTGCAAAAACAAACAAATCGTAGTCCTCTTTAAGGAACTAGCAGAAAACAAAAAAAAATTCAAAAAAAAAACCTCAAGAATAAAATTTGAAAATCTAGGAAGTTTGAGATTTTTTTGAAAAATATAGGCTTAAAAAAAGTGTTTATAAAGTAAAAAGGATCATTGGGGGAATTTTTAGGAATTTTTGAAAAATTTTTTGAGTTATTGAAAATTGAAAAAGTTTGAATTTTTCGACAACCGTTGAATTTTTCAACACTGAAATATGAAAAATTTAAATTTTTTGGTGATCATTGAATTTTTCGATCACTGAAATCTGGGGATCTTTGAATTTTCCAACGTCGTTGAAGATTTCGGCCATTGGTGCACAGTGGTGACCGGTCGAAAACTAAGCTCCAAGGCCACCGACATAGGAGCTAGGTTTTTTAAAGAGAGGAGCTCTGGGTAAAAAGAGAAAAAGAAAAAGAGAAAATAAAGAAAAAAAATTGATTTTGGCCTATTTATGGGCACCTCAAAACATCATCATTTTGAACGTCTGAACTAAGCTCAACCCTCACATATCTGCCCGCCGACTCGCGGGTCAACCCGACTCGTTTACAGGTTTTTATTTTTTTTTCTTTTTTTCTGCTTTGATTTTGATTTTGATTTATTTTATGTTATTTTTTTATATAATACTATTGTTGTTATTATTGTTATTTTAATTATTACTAGTAATAATTTAAAATAAATAAATAAATAGAATAGAATAAAAATAAAATTGAAATAAAATAAAGACCTGAAAATATAATATGCAAAAAAAATTAATATTAACTTTTTAAGTAAAATAAAATTTTATTACAAGCAAAAATATTGTTTAAATTTCACCAAAGAGTTAGGATAATTTTTAAAAAAATAATTTTTTCTAACAAAATAAATTATAAAAATGATAAATAAAATAAAAATAAATTGTTTAAATGAATCTTCTAAATGCAATTTTTAAAGAAAGTTAAAAAGTTTAGTTTTCTTTAATTATTACGAGTAAAAATAATTTTTTCAGATTTCACCAAAGAGTTGGAATATTCCAAAATTATTTTTACTAGAGCAAAGGTTGATTTAAACAATGTAAAACAATAATAAAAAAATAATTGATATTTTGAATATTTAAAAAAATAAAAAATTGAAAGAGGTCGATTTTCTTTAACACAAGTAAGATATTAATATTTAGATTTCACCGGTGAGTCGAGATAATTTAAATTTTTTTAATAAAAATAATTAAATAATAAATAATAAAAACTAATTAATAAATTCTTTTAATTATAAAAAAATTATTTTATTTAGGATCTTGTCAAAAGGTTGAAATGATCTTAAAACTTATTCAAAATTTTTAGGATTTTACCCAATAGTCGAGATAATCGTAAAACTTGTTTAATAAATTTTAAAAACTTACCAAAGAGTCGAGATGTTCCTAAAATTTTTTTTGAAATAAATAAATAAATAAAATATCTTATGACGAGATGTTGAGAATTTTGTGAAAGGTTAATTTTCTTGAAATATTTTTTAAATAGTGATTTTCTATAAATTCGACCAAAACATTAAAGAATTTATAGAATACGAAATAATAATAGTAATGTTAATTTCATAATTGAAATATTTTTTTAAAATAAATTTTAAGAAATTAAATTTAAACAAAAAAAGATCATATTATTAAAATTATAAAATTACGTATGTTTAAGTGATATTATTCTTTGAATGGACAATGTAAGAGTGTTAATACTTTTTTCCACTCGTAATCGGACTTTCAGATTTAACTCTAACTTCGTTGACCTAAATTCTTTTAGTTAAATCTTAACTAATTTTGAAATTTTTATTAAAAAAAATATTTTAAGTGTCAAATCATATCCTATTAAAAAAATTAATGATGATTTTGAAAAAAATTTTTAAATCTAGCCATCGAGTCTTTTCGAACGAAAAAATGTTACGACATTCTCAACAAAAACTTTAAAAGAGAAAACGACTGGATTAATATAAAATATTTGGTGGAGACAAGGCCATGGAGACGAACTGTATACATCATATCTTCGCCGAGCTGGGTGCTTTGATGTCTGGGATTGCTTTATAGAGAGGCTCAAGGTATGGCTGATGCCTTGGCAAAGGCAGGGTACAGTGGATAATTTTTTGGCTTGGTGGTAATCGGTTAGTCATTTTTGTTATGTAATCTTTGGTTGTTTCGAGTGTGGTTAATGTATTGTGGTTGTTTTTGTAAGATTTGATAATTTAAAATATAATATAATAACATGATATAAATAAAATATAAAAATATAATATAATACGATTTAAAATTTTAACAATAATTATATATAAATTTAATAAAATTAAAAAATACATATTTCATATTTTCATATTAATATAAATAATAATACATAATTTTTATATAAAATATAATATAAATATATAAATTTTAATATTTTATACTATATAAATATTCGAATAATCAAATTTATTCTTTATTATCCAGTTTATCGTCAATTACAAATCTCACTGTCTATTTTTACACTAAATAAACAAAACCTCTTTTGGCCTTTCGTTACAGTTAATTTTATCACAGTTGCAAGATATCCTTCAATTATGATTTTGCATTATTGGACTATTGTAATTAAAAACAAAGGGTATATGGGAATTTATTGACGTGTCCATGCAAGAAAGGTTTTCTCCATCACTGGACAACAATTAGCAACCACCCAACTAACCTTGCCTGATTCTCCACTGCACTAAAACCATTTGGATATTCATTCCTTGTGGTAATCCTCCTGTGTTTATCTTTTAACCTTGGAAAAGATGCTAAACATTACTTTTTAAACAACCACCCATGTCCATAACAATAGTTAAAATAGGAAATTTAAAAAAAAAATCCTAAAATATATTGGGATTAAGGATAAATTTATCATTATACTATTAAGTTAATATTGAATTTTGTTCATGAATTTCAATTTCACAGAATCTTGCGATTACCTTTCCAATTTAGATAAAAAGTTATGATATTGAAAAAAAGATCACTTGCATTATTGAAAAAAAATTCCTTTTTCATTAGACCTGATAATTTTAAACACGACACGGTAATACGATATGAAAATAACATAAAAAAATTATATATTTATTTTAAAAAATATATTTTATATTTACTCATATCGACACAAATTTTGACACGATACAAATCATGTCATATACTTGTTGATATATTTAAACATATAACATGACAAGAATAATACATTTAATTTAATTTTATTATACAAATATTTGTTTAACATGTTTAACATATTTTTTATATTTATTTTAATTTAAATATAAACATATAAATATTATTTTAATTTTTAATCTTTTAATTATGATACTTAATTAGCTATTAATATCATATAAAAATTATTTTAAACATTTAATTATGATATTCATTTAATAATTATTATAAATTTATTTTTTATATTAATAATATAAATACAATATTAATATTAATATTAATAGTATACATTATTGTTTTATTCTTTAATCTTTAATAGTTTTTCATTTGGAATTTATACTAAAAATTAATATATTATAATGTAATATAAATTATATATATAATATATATTTAAATACATATTAAATGAGTATTAATTTTTTAATTTTTAATATATAAGTATTTTTTATATTATTAATACACCAAAATTTACTAAACTGTAATGATAAATAATTTATAATTATTTATTATTTTAATCATATTCTTATATATATTCATGTTAATTATATATATTCTATATATTATATTAATCATATCTATTAATGTATATTCACATTATTCATATCATATTTAAATAAATTAATTATATTAATATTAATATTTAATATAATATTATATAAACGTGTTATATTATGTTTAAAAACTAAATATATTTTATAATTTATATTATATTTATATTTTAATAATTTATATTATTATATGTATCAAACACGATATAAAATATGGCACAAAAACATGAATGTCAAATTAACTTTATGCTATCAAACAAATTTCCCACCACGTATCTCTAAAGTCATGGCCAGTTATGGATAACTTTTCAGCTGTCTGCTAAAAATAAATCAGATTAGTGATCAAATTCTTGTTTTTTCCTTTTTTTTTTTTGTTGGATTTTGTATATGTTTGACGACAAACAAGAAAAGTTACTTCCATTAACTAATAAAGAGAAACATCAAACCCCAAATCATGTCTTTTCTATGCATACCGCCCATAGATTGTGTTGCTGATCCCACGGAAAAAATGAGCAGATAATTAACAAAATCTTCAATTATGAGAATAAGTAATTTTTTTTTTTAATTATGACCAGGACTCTTCTTTTAACTAATAAAGAAAGGTTACTTCGATTAACTAATAAAGAGAAACATCAAACCACAAATCATGTATTTTCTATGCTTGCCGCCCATAGATTGCGGTGTTGATCCCACGGAAAAGATGAGCAGATAATTATCAAAATCATCAATTCTGAGAATAAATAGAATTTTTTTTTTTTTAATTATGACAGACGCTCTTCTTTTAGGCAACCAGGTCTACACCTTGAGTCTTGACCTATCAATTATAAATTCATTCAACTTGCAAACTCAATTAGAAATTTTATTTTATTACTTACATTAAAGAAAATTTTTTTACAAAAATTACCATAATTTAAGAAAAAAATATAAATTACAAATGTTTAAATTTAAATTTTAAATATATTAAATATCACTTTTTCTAAAATAATTACATAAATTATCTAAATTAAATTTCGATTTTATTATTAATGCTATTTCAATTGTAAAAAACAATACATGATTTGTTGCCTTGAAATCAGAAAATATATACATATATATATATATATATATATTAGGATTAAGGATTTTTTTTTAAAGGAGGACAAACCCTTAAAAGGGAAAAATGATATAGCGGATTTAAAATTTACGTCTACATTCTTTCTTCAAAGCTTTTTAATCACTAAATCAAAAAGTGTAAAATAATAAATTTATCATTATACTATTAAGTTAATATTGGATTTCAATTTCATTGAATCTTGCTATTACATTTTCAATTTTGTAGATTTTTTGATAAAAAGTTATGAAATAAAAAAAAAATCAACTGTATTATTGAAATATTTTAATTTCGTTACTTGCTTTTTATCTAAAAATCACAAAAATTAAATGTAATATAATGATAAATTTGATCTTAATTCTAAAAGTATCGTTTTGTCTTTAAAGTTATATAATGATAAAATTTTCCCTAAATTAAGCACTTTTATAAGTTTTTTTAGGTGAGTGAGGTCTAAATAGGTAAAAACAGAGGAGCTGTCATGTCCCACCCACCGATACTAAAGAATATATATGATTGCAGCCAGTTCTATAAATTGATGAGACCATAAATTCAGTAATATGTATTCAACAGTTTCGGTAAGTAAGCGGTGACTCAACAACAATGGTGGTGAAGGTTTATGGCCCAGCGTATGCTGCCCCTAAGCGTGTGATTGTGTGTCTTATTGAAAAGGAGGTTGAGTTTGAGACCGTGCCAATTGATTTGCTCAAAGGCGAGAACAAACACCCTGAATTTCTCAAGTTGCAGGTCAGCTACAACCTTTCCCTTCTCTTCTTTGAAAGGTTCCATATTCTCAGTGAGGATCATATTTACAGTCATCTCTTCTTTTCTGTCGTTTGCAGCCTTTTGGAACAGTTCCTGTCATTCAAGATGGAAACTATACTTTATTTGGTAATTAATATCCTTTCTCTAATTACCTGTAAATTGATATGATCATATCTTCTCCCTAACACATATCAAATGAACTATTAATTATAGCTCATGAAATCATTGAATTCAGTGTTTGTTAGAAATAATCTGCCTCTAACAATTCATCTTGTTTGTAGTGTTTCATATTCGTTTTGAGATTGTATCGAAAAGGGAAATTGCAGAATATATAAAATTCTGATGACCAAAGAAATAAGAGTTTTAGATGAATTTTCTCAGTTTGGTACGAGATTGCGCCTAAAAAAGAATAAAATAAAATCTATTCCTATTAATTTAAAAATGTCTACCGACGGAGGTATTTGTTCGATTTGCGAATTTACTTCAACTCAAATCAAACTTTAGATATGAGATTTGGAATTTTATTTATGAGAATTAAATTCTTATTTTGATCATATTTTTTTTATTTTATTTTAATTTTAAAATTATTTAAAATAATAAGATTTTCACATATTTTAAATATTTAGTATATTTTAAAAAAATAGGTCTCTTGGTCTCAGACAGACTGGATCAGCTCAGGCCTTAAGTAGGACTTTTGAACTAATCCTCCCTGATCCATGGTCAGGTTTAGTTACTATGCATAAGCATCAATTATTGAAGTAAATCTTTTACACGAAGATAGAAAAAGTGGGTTCCCTCCCTATCACTTAAAAATCTTTTACCATTATTATTTTTTTTTGCAGTGAAAGTGATAGTCCTGGAGAATTTCACTTGAACATTTCGACCGGATAGAATTTCACTTGAAAACTTGGACAAGATTTTTACATATTATACTATATTATGTCTGTAGATAATTGCAAGACTACAATCAACTACGTCCCATAAACTATCTAGGAAGAGTTGAATTTCTGAGTGCTTACTCTTTTGGCAAGAATCTAAATCACTTTCTGACAACAATTTTTTTTTTTTTATGAAATGGAATGAAATGATGAATTTTATAATGTGGGTTGTGCAGAATCCCGTGCCATCTTGAGGTACTATGCAGAAAAATACAAGTCACAGGGAACTGATCTGCTGGGAAAGACAATAGAGGAAAGGGGTGTAGTGGAAAATTGGCTGGAGGTTGAGTCAAACAGCTACAACCCACCAGTTTTCACCCTAGCCGTTCAAATCTTGCTTTCCCCCAAGTTGGGGATCCCTCCTGATGAAAATTTGATCAAGGAGAGTGAGGAGAAGCTTGCCAAAGTGCTGGATGTATATGAGGAGAGGTTGTCAAAGAGCAAGTGTCACGGGTCGAGACTCAAGCTCCGAATCCGTGCGGCTTCGGGACCTGGACATTCACTCTTCCGACGTCCCGAATCAACGTGACCGCCACGGTTCACACCCTTGTGAGGTATTGTCCGCTCTGGCCCCCCTTGGCCTCACGGTTTTATCCTACAAAAGGCGTCTCACAAGGTGGAGGTGGTGTGAACCCTTTTATACCCTAGGGACCCTCCTATTATGTTCGATGTGGGATTTAAGACTCTTCCTTAGGTCCATGACATTCTCCCGCATCCAACCTCGTGACGCCCTCGTCACGTAGGCTGATCACTCTGCCTGCCTCCCTTGAGGTGCTTGGCGCGGATCGAACGGTTTAGGGCTGGCTCTGATACCACTTGTCACGGGTCGAGACTCAAGTTCCGAACCCGTGCGGCTCCGGGACCCGGGCATTCACCCTTCCGACGTCCCGAATCAACCTGACCGTCACGGTTCACACCCTTGTGAGATATTGTCTACTCTGGCCCCCCTTGGCCTCACGGTTTTGTCCTACAAAAGACGCCTCACAAGGTGAAGGTGGTGTGAACCCTTTTATACCTCAAAAACTCTCCTATTATGTTCGATGTGAGATTTAAGACTCTTTTTTAAATTCGTGACACAAGTACTTAACTGGTGATTTCTTCAGCCTAGCTGACCTTAGCCATCTGCCATTTACTCAGTACTTGGTGGAACACATGGGAAAGGAGTACATGATAAGGAGCAGGAAACATGTGAGTGATTGGTGGGATGATATTAGCAGCAGACCTTCCTGGCAAAAGGTTCTCCAGCTCTATGTTTTTCCTTTCTAAAAATTGAAGCGATGCAATTTCAACGGCCTCTTTTCAATAATATCTACTTTGTTAATCGGCAGTTTGCTTTCAGCTCTTGTTGTATCTGCCTTAAGAGAACTTATTATCCTATTCTGATAAACTATAATCAAATAAAATGATGATTAAGGGGGTTTTTATATTTTTAGTTGTCTTTTCCTATGTTTGATAGATGGTATGAATAAAGAAGAATTTACATATGGAGGGATTTTCTTAAAAAAAAAACTTATACCTGAAAATTTTGTTCGAAAAATTTCAGGCTTTTAGATCCTTCAGATCGGGCTAGGCCTTGGATTAAGTTTTTAAAAAACCAGTCAAATCCAAAAACTGAAAATTTCAAAGATCACGCTAGGCCTTGTATATGTTTTTTAAAAGTAGTCCAATCTAAAAAGTGAAAGTTTTTAGTCGAATCATGATATTGGATAATGAAAGTTCATTTATTTTTCAAAAATTAAAGGGCACGAAAGTTTAAAACAAAAACTTCAAAAGCAAAAACGACTGAATTAATATATAATTTTTGGTGGGGCCAAGGCCATGGAGACGTACTACATCTTATCTATGCTGAAATGGGTGCTTTGATGTCTGGGATTGCTTTATAGAGAGGCCTTAAGGCATGGCGGATGCCTTGGCAAAGGCAGGACAGAGTGGATAAATTTTTTGGTTTGGTGGTAATCGGTTAGTAATTTTTGTTCTGTAATATTGGTTATTCCGAGTGTGGCTAATGTATTGTGATTGTTTTTAGTAAGATTTGATAATTTAATATATAACATAATAATATTATATAAATATGATACATAAATTTAACAATAATTATATATAAATTTAATAAAATTAAAAAATATATATTTTATATTTTCATATCAATATAAATTATAATACATAATTTTTTATAAAATATAATATAATTAATTTTAATATTTTACATAACACAAATATTCAAATCACCAAATTTATTCTTTATTATCTAGTTTCTCGTCAATTACAAACCCCAACAAAACCTCCTTTAGCCTTTCTTTATTTATCACAGTTGCAAGATACCCTCCAAGTATGATTTTGCATTATTGGACAATTGTAATTAAAAACAAAGGGTATACGGGGATTTGTTGCCTTATGCATTCAAGGAAGGTTTTCTCCATTGCAGGACAACAATTAGCAGCCACCCAACCAACCTTGCCTGATTGTCCACTGCACTAAAACCATCTGGATATTCATTCCTTGTTCTAATCGTCCTGTGTTTATCTTTTAACCTTGGAAAAGATGCTAAACATTACTTTTTAAACAACCACCATGTCCATAACAATAGTTAAAATAGGAAAATTTTTAAAAAAATTCTAAAAATATATTGAGATTAAGGATAAATTTATCATTACAATATTAAGTTAATATTGAATTTTGTTCATGAATTTCAATTTCATTGAATCGTGCGATAACCTTTTCAATTTTGTAAGCTTTTAGATAAAAAGTTATGATATTGAAAAAAGATAACTTGCATTATTGAAAAGAAATCCCCTTTCCGCAATCAAACAAAATTTCCACCACATATCTCTAAAGTCATGGCCCGTTAAAGATAACTCTTCAGCTGTCTATTAAAAATAAACCAGATTAGGGATCAAATTCTTGTTTCTTTTTTTTTGGTTGGATTTGTTATATGTTTGACGATGAACAAGAAAAGTTACTTCCATTAACTAACAAAGAGAAACATCAAAACCACAAATCATGTCTTTTCTATGTATGCGGCCCATCCAATGGTCGTGCTGATCCCAAGGAAAAAAATGAGCGGATAATTATCAAAATCTTCAATTATGAGAATAAATAAAAAAAAAATTTTAATTATGACGGACACTCTTCTTTTAGGCAACCTAGCTCTATCCCTTGAGTCTTGACCTAAAGGTATAACATCAATTATAAATTCATACAACTTGAAAACTTAATGAAAATTTTTATTTTATTACTTACACTAAAGATTTTTTTTATATAAAAAGAATCTTACTTTAAGGATAAAAGAATGAATTATATATGCTTAAATTTAAATTTTAAACATATTAAATATTATATTTTAAAAATAATTATATAAATTAGCCTATTTAAATTTTGAATTCATTATTAATGCTATTTCAATTGTGAAAGAAAATATCATGACATGTTATATTGAAATCAGAATATATATATATATATATATATTGGGATTAAGGATAAATTTATCATCATTATACTATTAAGTTAAATATTGAATTTCAATTTCATTGAATCTTGCTATTACTTTTTCAATTTTGTGGATTTTTAGGCAAAAAGTTATGAAATTGAAAAAAAAATCAATTGTATTATTGAAATATTTTAATTTCGTTACTTGCTTTTTATCTAAAAATCATTGAAATTAAATGTATACCGATAAAATTCAATAATGAATCGTAATATAATGATAAATTTGATTTTAATGCTGAAAGTATCGATCCTAATAATTCGAAGGAAAGAAATTATATTTTTATCTATAAAGTTATATAATGATAAATTTCCCCTAAATTAGGCACTTTAATAAGTTTATTTTAGGTATGTAAGGTCTAAATAGGTAAAATCAGAGGAGCTGTCATGTCCCACCCTCCGACACTAAAGAACATCTATGATTGCAGCCAGTTCTATAAAATTGATGAGGCCATAAACTCAGTGATATGCATTGAACAATTCAATAAGTAAAACAGTCAATCAACAACAATGGTGGTGAAGGTTTATGGCCCAGCCTATGCTTCCCCTAAGCGTGTGCTTGTGTGTCTTATTGAAAAGGAGATTGAGTTTGAGACTGTGCCGATTGATTTGCTCAAAGGCGAGAACAAACACCCTGAATTTCTCAAGTTGCAGGTCAGCTAAACCTTTTCCTTCTTTTCTTTCAAAAGTTCCAAGTTCTCAGTGAGGATCATGTTTACAATCATCTCTTGTTTTCTGATTTTTGCAGCCTTTTGGCACAGTTCCTGTCGTTCAAGATGGAGACTATACTTTATTTGGTAATTAATATCCTTTCTCTAATTACCTGTAAATTGACATGATCATATCTTCTCCCCAACACATATCAAATGAACCATTAATTATAGCTCATGGAATCATTGAATTGAGTGTTTGTTAATAATACTCTGCCTCTTAACAATTCATCTAGTTTGTAGTGTTTCATATTCGTTTTGTGATTGTATTGAAAAGATAAAATGAAAAATATATAAAATTATGATCATAAAAGAAAAAAGAGTTTTAGATGAATTTTTTGAGTTTGGCATCAGATTGTGCTGAAAAAAAAAAATAATCCTATTAAATTAAAAATATCCATTATTTGAGATATTTGTCTGATTTGCTAGTCTAATTGAGCTCGAATCAAATTTTAGATATATCCGATCTTGACCTGAAATTTTATTTTATTAATAAAATTTATTTTTATTTGATTTTAATTTTAAAATATATTTAAAATAATAAGATTTTCAGATATTTTAAATATTTAATATATTTTAAAATAATGGGTCTCTTGGACTCAGACAGACTGGGTTGGGCCCTAAGTAGGACTTTTGAATTAATCCTACCTGATCCATGATCAGGTTTAGTTACTATGCATCAGCATCAATTATTGAAGTAAATCTTGCACGAAGATAGAAAAAGTGGGTTCCACTCAGTATCACTTAAAAGGCTTTTACCATTATCATTTTGATTTATAATGAAAGTGACAGTCAGGGAGAATTTCACTTGAACTCTTGGACAAGATTTTTACATATTAATATGTCTATATATAATGGCAAGAATATGATCATCTAAGCCTCACAAACTATCTAGGAAGAGTTGAATTTGTGAGTGCTTACTCTTTTGCCATTAATCTGAATCACTTTCTAACAAGAATTTTTTTTTCTTTTAATGAAATGAAATGAAATGATGAATTTTATAATGTGGGTTGTGCAGAATCCCGTGCCATCTTGAGGTATTATGCAGAAAAATACAAGTCACAGGGAACTGATCTGCTGGGAAAGACAATAGAGGAAAGGGGTATAGTGGAAAATTGGCTAGACGTTGAGGCAAACAACTACAACCCACCAGTTTTCGCCCTAACTGTTCAAATCATGCTTTCGCCCAAGTTGGGGATCCCTCCTGATGAAAATTTGATCAAAGAGAACGAGGAAAAGCTTGCCAAAGTGCTGGATGTTTACGAGGATAGGCTATCAAAGAACAAGTACTTAGCTGGTGATTTCTTCAGCCTTGCTGACCTTAGCCATCTGCCATTTACTCAGTACTTGGTGGACCAAATTGGA